CGCAGCGCGCCGGCCGCGGCGGCCATTGGAGGGTGAACCAACGGCAAAGGAAGACCTTTCTCTCTCTCTCTCACTGTCCACTCTGCCTGTCAAAAAAAAAAAAAACAGAGCTGAAGTAGATTCAGGTTTTCCACATTCCGCACTGCGTCAGGATGCCTCTCACCCTACGGTGGGCACCAGGGAACACAGTCTGGTCTCTCTAGCCCACAAAACAGCTGGAACCACACTGCTGGCCAAGGCCTGAGCAGTCTCTGGCTTTGGGGTCATAAGGCCAGGCTTCCAGGCTGTGCAAAACCGTCAGGCCCAGAACTTCCCAAGGATAAGTGGCCACACCAATTGCCAGCCCAGGCTGGAAGGGAATGAATGAGTGGCATGGGAGCACTTTGTCACTTTAAGGGCAAGCGGCAGTCAGAAAATACCTTCCTGTCTCCACCTGGCTGTACTTCGGGCAAATCCTTTAACAGCCACATGACTTCACAGTCCTTGAGTGCTGGTTTGCCATCATGGGTTCTCAGAACAGTCTTTCAGATTGGTTTTCTAAGTTTAGGTGGAAAAGGAATTCATCTGTCCTATGTGGGATGACAAATGATGCCAAGGAGATTTTGATGAAGTCTTGAACCAGTGGTTCCAAAACAGGATGTATGAAAACTCAGCCGTTCTGAGGCCAGCACTAGCAGGCAGGGCAGGGTCACCCTGGCACTCACTCTTTCTCAGACTTCCTTGGTGTTCTCGTGGGGATTAAGAGTGGCTGAATTTGAGAATGACAGGAAATTGTCAAAGAATGTACGCCACAAGTGAGCATCAAGACAAAAAGACGCGATGCAAGCCCCATCCCAGCTCCTCCCCTCTCCCACCATTCTGAATGCAAAGCAAGACATCCTAACTCGGGCTGTCTCCCAGAGCAAGGATAGCACCAAGCGTCAAATAACACACAGACTAAGGTTTGCCCACGCTTGTCTGAGATTCTTCTCTAGAAACAAAGACATCCACTTTGTGAATTTGCATTGCTATAAATCAGCTTGGGTCTCGCCTCAAGCAGGCAAATACGCTGAAGAACGCACTTTGGTACTGTTTAAATAAACGCATCATCCCACTTGATTGCACATCATTTCCTTGTGGGCAGAAGCATCCCTGACAAGGCATTGCCTATTGCAAGTCCTCTGTCTTTGTCCAGACGCTCTCCATGAGGAGTCGGGAAGGAGGCAGCCAGCAGTGGCAGTCGGCAGGTATCTAGGCCTCTTCGCCGATTCTACTGCAGACGGCAGGTTGGGCAAGACCAGTACACAGCGCACTTTCTACTCCTAGACAGGAGGAGGAAAGGCCCTTAGGAGAGCTGTATTTGCAGAGAATGAAGAGGAAACAGCAGAGCAGAGGCATAAAAATGAAATCCATTCTCTGGCATTAAGACCATTTTTCTCTCGCATAGGATCTGTTCTCACATTAGGATTTTGAGGGCTCTGCCGAAGGCTAAGCACTGACGTCAGGTTTGATGCAAACTTGAACCCAGCGAGGCAGCGCTCCTGTTCTGTTGGTGAGACAGCTTGGACCGGTGAGGGACAGTCTGACGGCTGCCGAATCAATCAGGAACAACTCTGGAGCTCTAACCGCTTGATACTTGGGAAGCGAGTGCACTGTTTTCACCGCAGATGAGAGAAGAGGAAGTGGTGTTTGATCTTGGCTTGTCTTAACTCTTGATTGAAGGCAGCAGAGAGCCTGCTCAGAGCTGGAGGTCGCCTCGTACGGCCAGGACATTCAGGAAGAGGAGAGGGAGGGCCAACTTGCTGACAGGTGCGGCCGTCTGCACGTGCAGTCTCAGCATGGCCCCCTTACCTCTTGGGTGACTCGGGACCAGCACCCCTGCCCATCTCCGGGTCTCCTCCACAGCACAACTGTCAGAAAAGCCACTGTGGGTAACAGGTATGCGTGGGTAACAGGCACACTCCTCCTCCTGCAGCCCCACCTATCTGCTCTTCAGGAATTCCCAGCCATCTGTGTTCACACCAAAGACCAGGCCAGAAGGCCACCACGTGTGAGGGAAGGGGTGGCTGAGAAAGACTGAAGATGCTCAAGAAGGTCCAGTGTGCAAAGAACAAAGGGGAGCTGGCTGGCTTTGAACCCTGGGTAATTAAAAGGACAGTTCTTCCAATCAAAATATACCGCTTCCTCAGCTCCACATCCGTGTGACTCAGTCACGGGGTTTCCACTACCTGAGTGTGTAGTTAGGGGATATAGGGACATTTTAATTCTCATTTTTTAAAAAGTGGAAGAAAAAGCTGTTCAAATGCCTCCTACATCATTTGGGTATGCCTCCTTCAAAAAACTGTGTATGTGTGTGACTTACAGAATTGTTCACACCCTAGACATCTACAGTGTAAAGCAGGCAGTCGGGCACTGGATCGTTGGCTAAAAACAGAAGGGTGGGGAAAGTTTCATGTGGGTGATCTCCATGCCAGCCCAGCTGTCCCATTCTGTGACTGTGCCCCATGCCCTTTCTCTCCCCCTCTGCTGCCTTCCATTTCAATGAAAAGCCAGGCAGGAAAGGGGAGAGCAGGCCCAGGCCCTGCCAGCTCTGCTGAGGCACGGGGGAGAGGTCAGGAGGTGACATAATCGAGGTGCTGCTGCCTCAGACCACGTCAGGGATCCACAGCCTGCCTCGTTTCTTGGGGCTTGAGCTAAAAGCAGCTCCTGGAGAGACATTAGTGCTCTGTGACCACTACAGAAAGAATTCTTTCTCCCCTGGTCAAATTATTTAGGGGATGGGAAGCAGGGTCAGTGTCAGAATCAAATTCTCAGATACCCACGAGGGTCTCTAAAGTGTTATAAGGCAGCCTGCTGGGCACTGGACATCCCACAGGGGACCATGGGAGAGCATTGCTGTGAGCATTCCAGAATGGCCAGCTCCCCAGCCACACGTACGCTCCTGTCCACTCCATTATGCGGGAAGCTCCTGGCCGGCAGGGACTGACTCAGAGTTGCCACAGGTTCGAAGCTCAGGACCTGTGTGTCGGATCAGAGAGAAAGGACCAGGAGACTTGGTCCCCAGCGGCACGGGCGAGCTCGTGGGCACATCCCCCTGGTCAGTTCTCCGGATGTCAACAGACAGCAACCAGTCAAGCAGCTTTAATTGCTTAGGGGCATTTTTCCTTGGGAAAAATGAACCAAAAGCATTCATCACCAGTGCCCCCACCAAGCAGACATTTTAAAATTATAAAACAAAATGAAGCCACTTTGTAAGGTTTCCCTGGCCAGCTCAGCCAAGCCATGTCAGTCTTGTCAACAGGGAGGCAGTTACACGAGAGGGGCCGGGGCGGCTCACAGGACCCCCTGACTTAGCCCAGCCCAGCAGGCCTGGCTGACTTCTTACGTCTTCCCAAAGCGCCTTTCCAGCCCTGAGCCTGGGGAAGCGGGCGAGGAGCTGCCTCCAGAGGGCTCCTTGTCCCCTGGACTTCCCAGCAGAATGACGTCCCCTTGCCCGCCCCTCAGACCTTCCCAGAGCTGCGTGTGTACAAGGAGTGGAACGAGCAGGTGGGGGCTCTGAAAGGCGAGCTGCGCGGCGGTGATCCATGAGAAGACGCGGGCGCTTTGTGGAATATTCCTCACTCCAGCTCACAGGCCCTCCTGATTCTGTTTTCCTTTTATCATTATCTTCCCTGCAGAGAATCCGTGCCCACAACTCTGCTCGTGACCTACCTCACCTCACAGCCCAGCGACAAGAGGAGGGCATTTTTCAGACAGAAGAAATGTTCCGGTTTGGTTGTACGGAAAGCATCGTAAAGGTCAGATAAGGCTTGAGTCAGCTTTTCCTCCTCCAGACCCACGCGGGGTGAAGACCTGTACCCCTTGCCCTGGGCGCCTCCGCCCGGAATACCTGGAAGCGTCCTCACTGCCCGAGCAGGGGCTGCAAGCGACGGCCGTCCCTCCTGGGCAGCCAGGGTCGGGGCAAGTCTGCCGGCAGACCAGCACCTGCGCCGCTCGCATCAGGGAGGAGCTTTCCCTCTGCTCCTGTTCCTGCTGCGCACTTGTTTCCAATGAAAGCATTCACTTGGGGGAAATAGTGAAAATATATTTTATCTATTAAAAATGTTTCATCCTTTTACCAAAAACAAAAATCCATTCCAACGGAAAAGGTATTTTTCAGATTACTGGAGACGTACAGAAAGGTGGCAAGTGGAAAAGCAAGTGTTTGCTCCCAGCCTTTCAACAGCGTTTACCAAGGTGGAAAAGGCAACATAAGAAGCGGTGGTAACCAGCGGGCTTTCTCTGAGGGCCTCTGGGGAGGCCGCCCACCTGCCTGCCCACCCGCCACAGACCAGCGCCAGCTCTTTGTGCACACACCATGCCCTTCGGCAGCCCTTGTGGGCCATGAGGTGCTGGAGGACCTAGAACTGAAGTGGTATGAATATAAAGTAATGAGATTGATGTGTTGCTTTTTAACATACACACACACACGTGCACACACGCCCAGAATACACAGGTTAGGTGAGTGAGGTTTGTTCCCCACCAAAGTAGTCACCGAGGAGACCCCACAGATCTCAGTGATGGCCACGATGCTCGTGACGCCTCTGGAGCTTCTTCGGGAACTGTGGGCTGCGTGGGAAACGGCCCTGACGGCTTCCCAGCAGCCTCTGCCACGCCTCCAGGCCTTTCCTCAGACGGCTTCGGGAGCGTTTTGGGCTTACACTCCTCCCTCCGATAGCCCCACAACATGAACGATCTACCCTGAGAAGAAGGGGGCAAACGTGAGAAGAATCGAAAGAAGGTGGTGGTGCTGTAGTGACCAGCGCATCCCTGTGCCAGACCTCAGCCGCTGCCTTAGCAAGAGGTGCTGGGCGGATGGCCACTAAGCTCCCTTCCAGGTATAACATTGTAGGAGTCTGCGTCTCCAGGAGGTTCTAGACATTGGAGACAGTTCCAGAAATGTTTGCACCTGCAGTAACATCACTGGGAAAACCATGCGGTATCCTGAGGAGGCTACTCAAGGAGGACAACACGCTCTGGGAGGCCTGGGAAAATGCCAGTCATGTGACTTTATCGTAACAGTTCATATATACACAGGAATGCCAGCCCACCTGAGACTCCCGGAAATCATCTCAATCCCTATTCTCAATGAGCCCAGATGGGCAGAAGCACCAAGCACCACCAGGGATGCCAAAGACACATGGTGTCGGCTGCTAAGGAAAATAAACCCCACAGGTCCATGGGACTCAATTTACCAGCTGCATCCAGCTAGATGCCTCGTTTCCACAGTATGAGGCTCAGCATTGTTCTTTGCCTGACTTCAGGTGGAATTTTTAGGATTTGGGATCAACATTGTAGAGAACCGTTGGCCACAAGGAAAACAACACTGAAGCCCGCTGCCATCTGCCTCCCAGGCTGGACCCCCGTGGGAAGCAGGGCAGTGAGCTGTGGTGGGAGGGGAGAAGGGCGCGGTTTGTGTTTGTCTGTCTCATCCATCTCAGCTGCCTGCACGTGGAGTCTGCGTTGTCAGTGTTCAGGGCCCGGCCAGCTCTCCCTACATGCCCCTGCCATGCCTTTGGGCTGGAGCCCACTTGGGAGACCTATCAGTGTAGAAAATCCATGGGATTTGTCGTCAGGAGACCCGGCGGGCAGGCTGGGCTCGGTCACGTAGCAGCTGAGAGAACCCGAACGGCTGCGCCGCACCTCCGTCCCTCAGCCACGGGGCAACACGGCTCCCGAGGTGGGTCTCGGGAAGGCCAGGCCCGCGGCGTCAGCCACACGGTGTGCTTTCACGAAAAACCTACATTCAGTCGCTTCTGCAGAAGCGTGTGCTCCGCTGCTTCAGGGGGCACTTGTATTCGTGGCAAGGGGCAGGAGGAGGAGGAGGGACAGGACAGCCTCTCAGCGTGGATCTGCCAAAGAACCGTGCCATTCCACTTCTTTGAAAAAGATGCAGTTAATTTTCGTCTATAAACCTGATTTGAAACAGCACCCTATTCAAGGAGTCAGAAGGACTATTTGTCTCAGAAAGTCCCCCCTCTTTCTTCCACCACTGCTAACGCTGGCACTTATGCCCCCTGAATGAGGCCGTTCCAAATCTCATCCCAAGGGTGCTGCCGCAGGTGGCCCGGGCGCCCTCGGGGGTGGCCTCTCGGGCTGAGGAGCGCTTCTGGGTCGGGTGAGGAGGAACAGAGATGCAGGTGCCTTGGATGGACTCCAGAGGCCCCGGAGCTGCTCAGAACCACTCACACAGCGCTTGGCCATCCAGAGAAACCCTACGTGAGAACGCTCGGCTCTGGCGGAGAGCTCTGAACTGGAGAACGCTGCTCACGGAGGGCTACTTGGCCCCAGCCACGTTGCTGGAGCGCAGGAGATACTGGTCGACGCTGCCCTTCCGCCGGCTCACGGCCCGGCGCTCGCCGTCGAAGACACGCTGCAGCCGCAGAGCCAGCCGCCGGTCCTCCTCCTCCTGCCGCGCTCTCTGCTCCAGCTCCCGCAGCACGGGCTCTGCGGGGGCCAGGCCCACCTCCCCGCCGGCTGCTCGCAGTTTCTTAAGGGAGCCGTTTTGTTCCAGGTGCTTGGTCTTGCAGTGTCTTTTCCGGCCCCGACGCAAGGGAGGAAGAGGCTCCTGGCCCAGGCTGTCCGCCAGGACGCCGTTGGCCAGGTCGGAAGGCTTCAGGGGCTTCAGCTGCTGCTTTGTTTTGAGGACCCCACCCAAAGCACTGCTTCTGTGCAGCACCGAGTTCACTGCCGAGGCTCTAGGGGCTGTGCTTCTGCAGGTTTGGTCTACTTTGGCTTCGGGGGTCGCCCCTGTCCCTTCGAACTGCTCCCTGTCCAGAGAAGTCCCACTGGCTGCCCCTCTATGTTCCGAGGAACAGGAGGAGGTTCCCACCAAGGGCTCAGTGCTCCTCTGACAGGCACTGCCCTGTTCTGCTTTTGTTTGGCCAACACAGGGGAAGTCCTCCAGGTCCCCGGAGGCGGGTCCGGGGCGCTCGGGAGACACCTGCCCCGGGGACGGTCTGGCACGCACAGCCGGAAGCGGCTTCTCCTTGCTGCAGTGGATACCTTCCGAGCCCAGTAAGTCTTCCCCTGTCTCCGGAGCCAGGGAGGTGAGAGTGGCTTTGGAAAGGGTCTTTTTGATCTGCCGCTCCTGAAAGATCTGTTCCCACTTCTTGAGGATCCGCGGGCTGGCCTCATAAGAGGTCTGCTTCTGCAGGCTTCTGTTGAGGTTGCGAGGTGTCGATTTGATGATGAGCGGGCTGAGCACGCGGCCGTCAGGCAGTCTCTTGGGAGGAGTGCACGGGGAGCACACGATGGGCTTGAAGTGGTTCAGCTCCTCGGAGATGCTGTCATTGCTCTCGGGGCTGACGGAGCGCTCCGGCTTCTGCGGGGGGGCCGCGGAGGAGAGCGCGCTGAAGGGCAGGCGCTTTTCAATGGTCAGGTCAGGCGCCGAGAGGCAGCGGTTGTTCTGGGTGGACAGGAGGACGCCAATGATGGGGTTGGAAGCTGGAGTTATGGTTGTGACCTGAAAGAGACCAAAAAGATGATGCACACACGCACACAGAGGGTTTTGTGCTTGGCTCCTTTAGGACGTGGAGGGGCAGGGAAAGGAAGGACAAGAAAAGGGATGAAAGGGATGTGATGTGAGTCTAACAAATGGGGAAAAAAATCCCTGTCCTAAAAGGCACGCCACTGAAACAAACTCCCACACGCTTGAACAATGAAAATTAAAGATCCGAGGGAAAAGACTTATCCAGCCTTCTCTGATGGCCCTCATCCCACCGGGACCCTCTTCCACGCCATCACTGTGGAGCCCCCCTCCCCGCCACAGGCACACCGGGCCCGTGCTGCCTCTCATTTGGACAGTTTCTTTGTGGCACCGCGGCTGCCCGTGGCTGAGCTGTACCTTGGCCTTGCTGGCCGGGGCTGCTCGGAGCCTGCCTTTCACTCTGTCTTGAGCCGCGTCGCTGCAGCTCTGGCTCCTCTCCACCTTACAGCTCAGCTTTCTGGAAAAGAGCACGTAAGAGACAAAGTTAGTCCAGACGCTAATTCCGGGAAAAGGAGACAATCTCTTTTGTGCTTGCTGAGCCACTCACCAGGAGAGACAATTCCCTTGGGCAGCTACAACAGAAAATAAGTTTATTGATTGATTGATTGATTGATTGACAGGCCGAGTGGACAATGAGAGGAGAGAGAGAGAGAAAGGTCTTCCTTTGCTGTTGGTTCACCCTCCAATGGCCGCCGCGGCCGGTGCACTGCGGCCGGCACACCGTGCTGATCCGAAGGCAGAAGCTAGGTGCTTCTCCTGGTCTCCCATGGGGTGCAGGGCCCAAGCACTTAGGCCATCATCCACTGCCTTCCCGGGCCACAGCAGAGAGCTGGCCTGGAAGAGGGGCAACTGGGACAGAATCTGGCGCCCCGACTGGGACTAGAACCCAGTGTGCCGGCACCGCAAAGCAGAGGATTAGCCTAGTGAGCCGGGGCACAGGACAAAGCAGGTTCTAGTAACAAACTGCCAAAAGAGGAAGTGCTCGGAGAGAACATTTGGTTCAGGCTTTTGTTTCCAAACCTAAAGGAGGCAAGGCCCATGCTTGGGTGTGGGAATACTTTTCCTCCTCCATCGGGTGGATACAGTGTTACATCACCTTTGCAAACAACATCTTCCTTGTATTAGACTTAAACCTCTCCTCAAGCAATCTAAATCAGCCGTGAGGGGCAGGCATTTGGCACAGTGGTTGGGTCACTGGACGCCTGCAGTCCCTTTTCAGAGAGCCTGTTCACAGGCTGACGACCCAGCTTCCTGCTAACCTGCACCCTGGGAGGCGGCAGATGGTAGCTTAAGTACTTGGGCTCCTGCCACCCACATGGGAGACCCAGATTGAGCCCTGGGCTCCTGGCGTCAGCCTCCCCCAGCTCTGGCTGTTGTGGACAATTGAGGAGTGAACCAGTAGATGGAAGATATTTCTCTTCCCACCCCCACACTGCCTGGCTCTTTGTCTTGCTGCCTTTCACATACAAACAAAAATAAGCAAATCAGTCATGAAACAAATAGTGAAGTACTTACAGAAATGCATAGCAGTGCATTCGATTTTTATGTAGAAAGACAATTAAAGCTGTCAGCCCCTCTCTTGATCCATTACATTTGAGCTCCCACAGGCCTAAATCCAGTAATGTAAGGTTTCAAGAACACGTGATTTTTGTCTCACACATTATATCACACCTTATAACCCCAAACCAAACTCCACAGTACCTACAGCGCACATCCAAGTCCACCACACTGCAGCATGTTGAGTGCTGTGAGAGCAGTTATACAGCCAAACTCCCCAGGTGTTTTCTCCTAAGGTTTATAGCTTGTGTTCATATATGTAGGTCTTTGAATCATTTTGAGTTAAATTTTGTATGCAGTGTGAGGTGTGGTCTAACCTCATTCTTCCTCACATGTAGTTGGGAGTCTCACCGTGAAGACGACTGTCATTACCCCAGAGACTGTCGGCAGAGATGCGCAATTTATCAACCACCTTTGTTTCCCATTCCCCGACTCCTGCCTAATCCCTGACTCTTCATGCGCTTGGCGCACACTTGCTACGTGCCAGACACTGGGGGGCGCTACCCAGGCACTGGGAATGCAGAGGAGGAGCCTGGCTAGGCCTTCAAGGAATCAGATTTCCAGTACGGCAGATAGATAGCTCAGTACAGTGGATGGGCACCGCTGTATGCGTGAGGCAGAAAAGGCACGGGGGCCACTGGAACCCGAGATGAAGCCGGCACGTCCCAAAGGCTGAGACGGCATCTACGGGACGTCAGGGCAGACTCGCCGCGGGGCAGGTGACCCAGACGGAGACAGCTTCCTCGGTGAGTCCACTGAGCTTTGGAATGGAATGCTGCATATCTACGCTAGCTGCAAGAGTTGCTCTAGAACGTCTACAGTGCCAGGGTAGCTCAGGGAAAACGTACACGCGCGTTGAGGAACACTGCGTGCTTCCCTAGTGAGAGCCTGTCCTACCAGGCACAGTGGTTCTGCCCACCCTACTCATGGCCAACGGTGCTGGCAGGGGACGGTGGCACTCACCGAGGAGGTTCAACCCCTCACCCACAGGAGTGAGGCGAAAGTTGTACCCCATAGGGAGGCCATTTGCGGGCAATAGGAGCAAATCAGCATCACCCTATGAGGGCGGCTGTTTAGAAGTCAGCTTGATAGTGGTATTCTACTCAGAAAAGTAGTGACGTTCAGGTTAACTGGGTGGCAGATTAAAATGCTATGATGAATATCGTATACTTGGATCAGGAGACCGGGATATGGAGCTGAGGGAGACAGCATTATCATTTGACATACCTGACTTGTTTGGTGTGATCCTAACAGAGAAAAAGTAGACAATAGGAGAAAAGGGTTTTCAGATTAACATGACAGACTTTGTAACTATTTTTTTTTTTAAGATTTATTTATTTGAAAGGCAGAGCAGTAGAGAAGCAGAAACAAATACAGATAGAAATCTTCCATGCACTGGGAAGGCAGCAGAGGACGCCCAAGTGCTTGGGCCCCTGCCACCTACATGGGAGGCCCAGATAGAGTTTCAGGCTCCTGGCTTCCGCCTGGCCCAGCCTGGGCTGTTGCAGCCATTTGGGAAGTGAACCAGTAGATGGAAGATCTCTCTCATCTGTCTCTCCCTTTCTCTCTGACACTGTACCTTTCAAATGAATAAATATTTTTAAAAAAACAATGTGGGGGATTATTGCCATCTCAACAATATTAGCTCTCTTCTAACCCATGAGCTTTCCCTTTCATTTAGATCTTCATCGATTTCTTTCAGAAATGTTTTGTAGTTCGCAGTGTTCAAGTGTTGCACCTCTGCGTTCAAATTTATTCATAAATGTTCTATTTTTATGCAGTTTTAAAAAAAGATTTATTTGAGAGGCAGACTTACAGACAGTGAGAAGGGGAGACAGAGATCTTCCGTCCGCAGGGTCACTCCCCAGAGTCCTGTGAACGATACCATTTTATCTGCAAACAGAGACCATTTCACTTCTGCCTTTGCCATCTGGATGCCCTGTATTTCTGTACCTTGCCCAAATGCCCTGGCTAGAATGTCAAGTACAATACTGAACAGAAATGGCAACACCAGACATCCACTTCCTGTTCCTGCTGCTGGGGGAAGCCGTGGGCTTTCACCCGTTGCGTATGATGCTAGCTCTGGGTTTTTCATAGGTGCCCTTTATGAGGCTGAGGAAGTTCCCTTCTATTCCTGTTGAGTATTTTTCTCATGAGCGGGTGTTTGATTTGACAGTTGCCTTTTCTGTTTCTTCTGATGTGCTCACGTGGCCTTCCCTGCCTTCATTCTACTAAAACTGTGCAGCACACAGACTGATCGTTGGGGTTGAATCCCACATGGTTATGGCTTATGACTCTAATAAGCTACTTAAGTTAATCTGTTAGTATTTGTTGAAGGAATCCACATTTATACATATAAGAAATATTGGTCTGTAACTTCCTTTCCTTGTGTTTTTTTTTTTTTTTTGGGGGGGGGGTCTGGGTTTGCTGTCAGGATAATTCTGGCCTCATAGACTGAGTTGGGAAATGTTTTCTTCTAAATTTTGGAAGAGTTTGAGAAGGATTCATGTTAATTCTTCTTAAGATGTTTGCTAGAATCACATCTGGTCCTGTCCTTTTCTTGTTGAATGATTTTTTAATTACTTGTTCTAATCTATTTGGTCTATTCAGATTCTAGGTACTTGAGTTTAGGTACTTTTTGTGTTTCTAGGAATCTGTGTTTTCATCTGGGTTAGCTTATCTGTTGGCATAAAATTATACATAGTATTTTTTATAATCATTTATTTCTATAAGGTCTGGAGTAATGTCTTCATTTTTCTAATTTTAGTCTTTGTCTTTTTCTCATGATTGGTCTAGTTAAAGGTTTGTCAATTTTTTTCCAAGAACTTTTGGTTTCATTGGCTCTATTTTTTTATTCTCTATATCATTTATATTTATTTTAATCTTTTATTTTATTCCTTTTGCTTCCTGTGGGTTTAGTTACTCTTCTTTTCTCTAGTTTTTTAAAATAGGAAGTTTGAAATTTTAAGAGAAAGATTCCAAATAAATAACCAAACATCTTTTTTCCTTTAGTTTAAAGAAAGAAACAAGAAGATAGTGATCTTTCACTCTCTAGTTCACTCTCCAAATATCCACAGCATTGGGCCGGGCTGAAACCAGAAGCCTGGAACTCAATCTGGGTCTCTCACGTGGATGGCAGGGACCCAAATACTTGAGCTGTCGTCATCTCTGACTCCCAGGGTGTGCATCAGCAGGAAGCTGGATCGGAAGCAGAGGAGCTGGGCCACGAGCCGGGCATTCCAGTGGCCTCTTAACCACTCCTTTGTTACAACTATGAACTTCTCCCAAGCACTGTTTTCGTCTCATTCAATATGTCCTAATATACTGGTTTTCATTCTCACTCCTCTCAGAATATTTTCTAAATTCTCTTGTGATTTTTTCTTTGACTCATTGGTTTAACTGTGATGTTTAATTTTCAAATATTTGTGAACTTTTCAGTTTTCCTTGTTATTAATTTGTAGTTTTGGAGCTGGCACTGTGGCATGGTGGGTTTATCTGCCACTTGCAACACTGGCATCCCTTATGGGTGCCAGTTTGAGTCCCAGCTGCTCCACTTCCAATCCAGCTCCCTGTTAATATGCTGGAGAAAGTAGTGGAAGATGGCCCAAGGCCTTGGGCCCCTGCACCCACATGGAAGACCTGGAAGAAGTTTCTGGCTCCTGGCTTTGGACTGACCCAGCTCGGCCATTGTGGCCATTTGGGGAGTGAACCAGCAGATGGAAGATATCTCTCTGTCTCTCCCTCTCTCTGTAATTCTACCTTTCAGATAAAATAAATCTTTTTAAAAAATTAGTTTTATCCCATATTGAGACTTGCCCTGGAGCATGTTCTTCAGGGCCATGTACATTCTGCGTTGGGTAGAGTGCTGTGTGTATGTCTGATAGGTTTAGTTACTATACA